AGTGCCTTTAATATAGGCCCGCCCCTTAAAATAAGATCTAGTCGATAACAAGGAATCTCTACTACAAGTTTTAATTTTAAATGATTAATAATCTATGTTTAGCAGTTATTTTAAATAAAAACGTGTTATTTATAAGTAAATGGATATCGGTTTTCATATTTTGTATAGTTGAAAATCTCGTAATTCTTGACTTCGTAATTTTGTTTTTGATAAATGAAAATAAAAGACATACCCCACAATTAAGCGCTGGTGTTATTTATCGAAAAAAATTGAAATAATACAATCTCTTATTTTCGGGTGAACACGATATATAGGCTACTAACCAATGACACTGAACAATGTTTGATGTCATTGGGCTAACGCTAACAGCAAGACGAAAAACAGGTCTGGTACATGGCATGACATATGTGAGGTCATAGGTCATCAACGCCAAAATAGATCTGTTGAATGCACAGGGCGGTTAATTCGTTTTTGCAAAATCTTTTGTTGTAGTGTAAAGTGGGTCGGCGTAGGTTTTACGCGAATATCTGAATATTGCCAGGTTGGAATAATATATTTTATTTTTATTTATAAATTTCATAATATAAAATATATAATATAAAATAAAAATATAATAATTATAAATTAATGTGGGATGTTGTTAGTCTCAAAGTAGACTAAAACCTAGAATTACAGAATTAGACACCTTTCTGGGAATGAACTATGTCTGTATGTGTGTTCTGTTCACAAGAACCAGAGTCAGAGAGTTTGCTTCAAGTTTATTTTGGAATTGTCCTTTCACACAAAATGTTCATGATTATGTTTTTTCTATTGCTTTGAAAATCAATCATTGTGTATTGAATAATAATTATAGGTATTACTTGTATTTTAATAGATTTAAATCATCAATGTTACTCACATCTCAGCATCTGTCAAACTTAGATCGTAACGTCATTATATTATTATTGTGCACTGCCAGACATAAAATTTGGCTAGAGAGGAATTCAGTCATTTTTTAAAATGTTAACCTAATCCAAATGTCTGAATGTTAACAATGTGATAATGAAAATTAAGAACTCTCTTATAGCAGTATAGCGAGAAAAAAAGACAAAACCCTACCTTTACAAGAGAACTCGATATTATATACCGGTATAGTACTGTAGTAGCTTATGATAATTCTCAAGTGCAGTTTCAAGTATTCTGTGGCATCTGCAGCTGCCGCAAAACCATGGCGGTATTTCCATACCATGGCCGCTACGGCCAAACTCATGGCAACTGACTTTTTAGCTGCCACAAACCAATGTCGAGCTGCCGTTACCGCGGCAGCAAATTGAAAATCAATGGCAGGTAAAATTTTGCTGCCGTAACCGCGGCAGGTGGGCCGTAAAGACAGGGCTGTCTATTATGGTGACAAATATTGGGTAAGTTGGAACGTTTTTCTTATGGATACAGTTTTGATTGATTTGGGGTTAGGGTTAGGGTTTAAGTAGATATAATTCCACATGATCAATTAAAATCTGGTACATTAATTTGTGAATATACCGTTAATACTGATTACTGAATACTGAATAGCGCTATAAAACCATGGCAAGAGCTGCCGCGGTTCGTTCGTGGCAGGAGCTGCCATGAAGTGGTAAGAACTGCGCCTCATAATTCTTGCAATGCAGCAATCAGGGTTGTTCAAAACGAATCGAATATTCGAATGTATTCGAATATCAAAGTATTCGAATACCTTTTCGGCTGTTTTTCGAATAATTCCGAATAGTAGCCACTTTTCGCCGTAAACGTGGTGTTTTGTTTTATGGGAATCTTCAAACGACTTTTTACGCTGTCTCACGTATTGTAATGACGATGAAATACGGCACTTTGATTGTTTATATTCTGTGCGATCGTACGTCGCATAGTGTTGCGACACATTTGCACGTTAGCGTGGGTGGACATTGCCGACATTCGTCTACGAGGCTTTTAATTTACAAATTCATTTCCATTACGTCAAAAAATTGACAATTACCGTATTTCCAGGCAATAAGTCGCTTTTCTAGGGGGGCGTCTAATTGAGAAAGTATGTAGTTCTATGTGGCCTGTTTTTATTCGCACGAGTCTTTTCAAGCATGATTTGTGTAACCTTATATTTGCGTCTTAGGGTCTGCCAATCATGATATTTAATCGCAGACCGGTTATCGTTGCTTTAATAAAGAGAAACACGGCCACCGAGATAAAGTGATTTGTGACCCTTTCATTTTGCCGATTCAGCAGAACACGACATGGACAGGAAAACACAGCTGTGAAATAACCTGTGGACGTACAGTGTATTACTTATCACATTCCGAAATTATTTCAACATTCGGGTTAATAGGTTGTCCAAAATGATTGCCGTTTTACAACTTAATTTACCACTCAATTGTTAAAAATAGTTTATTCGGTGATATGATTCTACCGAACTAACATGATCTGGTTCTAAACATATAAAATTATTAGCGCATATCAGCATAACTGAACAACAGGGACACAATTTTTCTACCCGTCTTATTGGGGGCCTGTATGGAAAAACCCCTTTTTGAGTGCTAAAAATAGACATCGTCCTATTTGCCATGTGGACTTATTAGCCGGGAAATACGGTATTTATAGCCGTCATTGTTACGATATCCAATAAATTGTCACAAGTTGGAAAAACAAGTCGATTTATTAGAAAGTAATTTCTGGCAAATAATTCTGATAACGATAGTTAAAAGTATCGATCCTTTACCAGGATGATTTTTTGTTGCGCAAAATAATCCAATCAATGACTGGTACCAGCATTCAAAATGTCATGCCGTATTAATTTAATTCTGTTCAATGTAACTCATGGTTGTATCGACAATCTGTGGACATAAAATGTGTGGTAAACTGACCGATATTATTAAATATTGATTTCCATTTTTATATTAATAAAATAATGAAAGTATTAATACCAAATACCACGGGTATTTGTGGACATGAAATACGTGGTAAACTGCCCAATTGTAATTAATTTCGGATTCGTATTTACAAAATAATAAAACTATCACAATTCTAAAATGCAACGGCCATCTGTGGCCTTAAAATGTGTGGTAAACTGCCCGATTCACCAACATTTGAGTTATGATAATAGAATTATATTAACACGATCAGGCATTTTAAATAGTGGTATCGGTCATGGATTCGAATATTTTGCGCAGCACAAAATCATCCTAGTAAAAAGTCCATACTTTTAAATACAAACTAATGGCAACCATTATCCAAATTAGTTCCCAAGAGCGGGATAAAGTATAAATTCTTTTTTTGTCTTGTGACAATTTTTCGTGGTACGAAAATAAGAATCAAAAACTAATTATATTCGGCACAATATCACGGCAATCTGTGGACATAAATTGTGTGGCAAACTCGCGATTAATATTAATTTTTGATTCCTATTTTCGTATTTACAAAAATACAACAGCGATCTGTGGATTTGGAATGTGTGGTAAACTACCCAATTATAAATAGTTTTTGATTCGTATTTTTGTACTCACGAAAAAGTTGTCACAAGTCGGAAAAATAACTCATACTTTATCCCACTTTTTGGCAAATAATTTGGATGATGGTTGGTATTTAAAAGTATGGGCGTTTTACTAGGATGATTTTGTGTTACGCAAATATTCAAATCCATCATCGATACCACTATTGCCGTATTAATTTAATTCTTAATATTCGAAAAAAAATAATTTCGAATGTATTCTAAACAGTGAACTATTCGGTATTTGCCATCCCTGGCAGCAATGTGATCTGTACTATTGAAATTAATAGAATTTACTGTATTTGCTCGTTTTGTAGCCCGGGCCCATATTTTTTTAATCCAACTCACTAACCGGGCCCTTATTCAAGCACGGGAGCCTGTTATTTTTAAACGAGAATAACGAAAATTTTGACTTTTTCTACGCACCGCAGCTACAAATCCGCAAAAGAAGAAACGTTTTGCGACGCCCTATCAATATTGCAAAGACGCACTTGGGCGTCGCAACGCCCAGTTTATGAACCACGGTGTTACATAATCAATGCTATCTGTTATGTAATTGGACGCCTAAGGCGTGGGTGTTATCTACCAGCGCTTAAAATTCAACAGCGTTGTGACAAAAGCGCTTCTTATTTCCTATTGTTCGCTACCACTGAAAAATCAGCTTTTACATCGGGCGGGTATTCAAGCACCGGCCCTTATTTATTTTTATGTTCTGTTCACACGGGCCGACGGGCGTGTATTTAAACAAGATCAGGCGGTAAAACGAGCATATACGATATATTCAATACGGCACACTATACAGATCGAGTGACAATTGTCTCGCTTCAGAGAAACCCATTTTTCGATGATCAGACACCCCTTCTTTGGGAGATGCTTGGACATTATTGTCTATCAATAAAATACAGTATAATGAAGTTGCACAAAATAAAGTTGGTACGGTAAATGCTAGATAGTAAAGTTGGAAAACATAAAAATGGTGCAATAGCGAGTCTTTGTCGTGAGGTGTTTATTGCCATCTTTTTATTCTGAATAGGTCGGGTGAGAGTGAGACTAACGTGTTTGGTGTCTGCCGCTTTTACGGGTTCTTTTGAGAGCAAGCGCAAGTATAATCAAATTAGAAAAATTTTGATGCCAGAGAAAACGCTCGTTTTTTATTAATAAATTAGAAACCAGAAATATAAAAATTCACGCCGAATGCTGTTATCAGATCATTCTGGATTTGTTAGACTATTCTATATTGCCCATCTCTATTTACAGTGACCCAGGATCTACAATCGCAGGTCCCGAAGTATGTGCACCAAGATAGCGCACATTCTGAACGTAGTATGTGTACCAGGTTAGGGTTCAGGTTGTGCTCCATACATACTATATTGGTGCACATACTTTGGGAGTGCCCTTTAATCTAATAACGTTAAATAGACCATCGAAATATTTTTCCTGAATATTAAAGTCAACGAATAGTCTATTATTTTCATATTAATATTAATCGAATGGACATCATATGGTATATTATTTATTTAGTCTATCATTAGGTATTATATTGTTTATTCTGAAATTATTAAATAGCCTAATCTACGTTGTGGACCCTGTCCAAAAAAATATTGCCGGAGTCTCTTGCAGCGAGAAAAAACGTATTTATTGTTGAGGAAATGAAGGTTTCTGATAGGAATATAGACCGCGAAGGAGATAATTACACATCTCGGTCCTCTTGTATATTTCGTGGAATTGAATATGTGGTCTCGGCCAATACGACTAACAATGGACGAACATTGGTTATTGAGGTTGAAGATAAACTAACTGCTGATCAATGGAGAGGAAAATTCGATTCAACATGTCAGTCAGTTTGATTTTATATTCAGTGGCTTGTTCATAAAATCCATTAGACCAGTGGTTCCCAAACTTTTTAGAGTTTGGTCACACTATTTATTACCACAGCTCATGGCGACCTATTTAACTTTCATAAATTAATAAAACATAACGCAGAACACAGCAATGGCTAATCATTGCAAAACTACTGTGTTTCCTTGAAAATAAGACCTGGCCTGAAAATAAGACCTAATTTGAATTTTTAAAATGATTTTAAATAAACCTTACCCTTAAAATAAATTTAAAATGTGTGGGAGAGGAAAGGTTCAATGACCCGAGGTAAGGTGAAAATAACACCACTATTCAAGATTGTGTGATGTCACAATCACAATTATGATATTTGTCACTTGATTTTTGTATAGTAAATACAAATAGAAACAATGGATGTCGGTTTTTATATAATTTTTATTGGAAAATCTTGTGATTTTCTACAATGTAATTTTATTTTTGATAAATGGACACCAAAGACCTCTTCCGAAAAAAAACCCATAGTGTTATTCTTCAAAAAAAAATAAATCTAAATCCTGTCTAAATTTCGGGGAAATACGTTGAGAAGTGCTGTACAGGGTACAAAACTGCTATGCGTAAAAAAGCCACATGGTCATTCTTCGTGTAGCAAATTTGTGTTCCACTGAGGAGATAGTAAAAAGGAAATTTTCACAGATTAGAATTTAAATTCAATTTAATTTATTTTTTTTAAAAGATTTATGTAATCGAGTCGCCATCGATCCTAATAACCAGTATAATTAATCAAAGCTTTCTGCATCTTTTCACGTAACACTAAGATTCCTTTTGCGACCCACAGTTTGGGAGCCGCTGCATTAGACACATTTGTGAACTCAGTATTTGCATATCCCGCAATGATTTGCATATTTGGTTTTGACCAGTTTGAAAATCAAGATGTAGTAGATTCATCCCCACCTATATATATATTATAATATGAAAATCTAGAATTTCACTTTCAGATATTGAAGATCTGACCAGAAAAACAGGGAATTTCAAACAATTTCCTGTATTTGTTTCCATGCTTGAAAGTGCTTTAGAAAAGGTGGGTTATGATCATTTTTATGAACATGTACGAAAGGTTTCAGATTTTAACCATAGGGTTTCGGCCCGGTCATAAATGGCTGATCTGTGTCATAATTTGGGTTTATGGCTAAATTAAATGTATTTTGGGGGGTCAATAGTATTTCATAGTGGTCTGCATGTGAACAAAACCAATTTCAAAACTCAAAATGTTTGAGTTTAAATTATCCATGCTTGATCCGAGTGTTCTTAATTACGGTGATGTCATCATATTTTCTTTATGTATAATTTTTATTTTGCAACAAGGTCAATTTTATTTGTATGAGTATTTCAAAGCTTAAAAATAACCAAATAGTATGTTGTTAGTTGAAAACGTAGTATTTTGAACGCGCGAGCAACGTTCTTCGGCTCATAATAAACAAACAAAGATACCAGACAGCACGCGATCAAATGCTCTTCGATAAAACGAATATCACTTCACTTACAAATCCCAGTCTTGTTTTATCTTGAAGGTGACGTAAAGCTCTTCTAAAAGAGAACTCTTTCTCTCGCATATCAATCACGTGTCGACCACAGCGTTAAAAGTGAGAAACTTTTTCTCGAAATTTTTTGAAATTTCTCTCTTCTTACCGTCGTACGGCGTACACATTTGCGCTACGTAATTTGGGCGCGTTTTAGTGGAAAGCGACGAAAATAAGCTTTTTAAGGACACATTAATGATGTTTTTGGCATTCTTGGTTGGTGAAATATTAAAAAAATTATAGAGGGGTGTCAAAATGACCCAGGGACACCCGAGATCAGAAGGTTGAGAGAATTTGCACAAAGTAAGGCCACACACAAACTCGAAAGTAAAGGGGACTCATCTTTGACAAAGTTGCAGGCAATCACTAAAATGCCTTCTATAAGATTCATATCGAAAAACTTTCACTGGTTCACATAACACATCATGTTATTTGAAAAAATAAGGCTCGTAAGAGTATGGTTTCTGACGGTTATTGCCAAACCATGGGCAGTGCATAAATTCATATAATGAGGATATATTGATAGAAGTTTTGCCAACAATAGTCTGGAATGAAGAGGGAATTTCTTGGTCTGTGATGTCAATACTTGATATTATGAACGAAGTTTGTTTTGAGAGAAATTATTTCTATATTGGCCACTGTTTGGCATCCACAAGATTTTCTACTTTAATTATTTGAAACTGGTTGGAAAAATGATTAAATGTGAGAACTGTGAACTGTGTTTGTATATTTTGACAGAACAGTGATTCTGTTGTGCTTGATCTTTTGACATATTCTGACCTGGAACTGTTGCGAAATCGTAAAGTTGGAACCACAGCAAAACCTCTTCCAAACGCTCAAACACTTGCTCAACAAAATAAAAGATATCTTATTCTTATATACTCTGTAGAATTTGATAGGTGAGTTTGATACTACATACTGTTTGATACTGTCATTTCAATGCGAATAATTTAACATAAAAATTGAAGAATTTACTAACTTTATATATAGCATTGGATTGAATTTCATCATATTTCAACTAAACTTTATTTCATACCATATTTTCAACTATACTTGATATTTACAAAATCCTTTGGCACATCTTCATTCAACAGGGCTACATTTCTCATGTAGGACAGAAATACAGAATTACGATGAATACTTTAACTTTTAATGTTTGATATTTTTTTAGGATACATTATCCTCTGCCTCTTCCTTATCAAGGAAAACCAGATCCAGTACATTTACAAAATCTTGTTCGCCAATTAAATGACGAAATCAGAAAATTAAAAACAGCACAGATGGGATTGCAAGATGAAGACTATGAACAGCTAAAGGAAGAGTAAGTGATAAAAATGGCGAAAACAAAGCCACTTACCATTGACATTTTATCTGCTTCAAAAAGTTAATAAATGTTTATTAAGATGTCAAGTTGAGATTGTCAACCAATATTGGTTGATGGCAGCTTAAGCAGGTCTAATTGTCAATGCCATCAGATTAACCTTTTTAAAAGAAAAAAAAGAGCTGAATACTGAAATAATTTTGTTTTTCATGTAGAATTGCCTATTTTTAGCTTAGTATACATGTTTACTGTCTCCCATCATATATAGATAAGGTAGTGTGTGGCCTTCCCTTCATATTTCTCTTTAGTGAGAGGACTAGTGTTATGAAGATTAAATAGTATGGTGTCCAGGTCTGGTCATTTTGTTGAATGAATAGCTATGCATTTATATGTCATTGGCGCATGTACTTGACTGGGGGAGATTGCACCAACTACCCTGTATTCATAATTTCATTGGAAAGAACATAGTTTGATTCTGTTTTTTTAGGTATGAAATAACTTTACAAGAGAAAAATCAGTTGGAGATGGACCTTGAAAATTTGAAACTACAAGTGAAAGATAGTACAAATGTTGCTGTTTCTAAAGAGGTGAGGTTTATTTTCATTCACTAATCTCCAAGCAACATCATTTCAAGCAACGCCTAGCCTAAAATTATAAAAATCACCTACAACTGCTGCTATAGTTAGTGTTTGATACTCCAATTTGCAGTGAAATAAAATCAAAAAGTCTGGTAAAATTTATGTGCTTTATAAAACTTTAGGCTGAACTTTGATAAATTGGACTCAATGATATATAGTCGAACAGATTCTAAAAGAATTTGACATAGAGTCAAAAGATTCTTCCAATTTTTTTCCCAACAAAAGCAGTCGCCTTAACAACACTATCGATTTAGCGTATGCAATCATGTGGTTTCATAGTGAACTTAGATTTATTCAGTTTTTGCATGTGTGTCTACAGGTGCGGATTTTGAAAAAAGTTGTTCAGAATTTGGAACTTGAAATGGTAAAGGAGAAGAATCGTTATCAACGACAAATGACAAAGAAAACTGCTGAAGTGAAGCGTCTAACATGTGATGTATAATGCATTGTTGTTATTTATTATAAACGCACAGAAAGCGGGTACTGGTACTTTTTGTATTAAACAGTTGTATAAATTAAAATATACTATTATTTATTATGTTATTGTGGTATATTAATTCATAAATTTTTGTGAGTCAGAAAAGGCAGATGACCTTCGCTCATTTAAATTCATCAAGTGGTATAACCAAATCTTTTGCTTTCCATTTGTCTCAACCAATTTCAGATCAGAGCTTATAAATATGTGTATTTCTCTGTTGCTCTGTGATTGATATTCAAGTGTTCAATTTTGGTTTCACAAGGGTTGCTCAAAGCATGACCACATTTTTCAAGTGAAGATTGAATTTTGTAATTCCCCTTTGCTGCCGAAAAAATTATGAAGGAGTAATTATTTCTCAGATGTCCTTGTCAATGTATATGTAATTTTTTTTAAATATCCTTTAATGTTTTAGTTACAAGACGTTCAAGCAAAAGAAAGAACTTTACAAATAAGAGTGAAGAGTTTGACAAATGAGTTAGCGATGTATAAAAGAACGTATGTATTTTAAAATGTCATGTTCTAATTGGGGCTCTGTGAATTGCAAAAAAAACTCGCGTTTTGACTTGGAGAAAATAGAGTTTTGAAATCATTCATTTAAATTCAAATTTTAAAATCATTAGATTGAATTATTCAGATTTTCATTAATGGCGATATCATCTTATTGGAATGCTTATAGATAAACTTTTTGTATCATGCTGTATACTTGTGCCGATATTCTGCCATCTGTGAACAAATTTTTCCCAACCTTTTTATACAATAGCCCTCAAATAAAGTCTAAAGCTTATTGCAAGCAATCACTGACAAGTGACATAGGATCCATACATAGATTTTTTCTTATGACGGAGATTTCTGTAAACAGTTCATGCAGCAGGCACTAATCTAGTAGAACATAGAAAAAACTTTCTATGAGATAAATGAATTCGCATATTATTGGAGATAACTACCGTATTTATTCATTTATAACGCGCACTCGTGTATAACGCGCACCTTTAAATTTTGAATGAAAATTGGTATAAAATTCTTTTTTTTATTTTTTCTCTACTAACTACTGGTAAGCACATAAGGTAACAACTCACAGCATGAACAAACATTTATTAAAAGCACACAGTAATTCAAAACTCTTCAAAATCGGATTCAGTCTCTGATTCACCAAACAACTGTTCGATTTCTGTTTGGGTTATGTTAGTGCAAGTCCATGCCTTCTCATAAACTTTTGTGCCCAACCATTAGATGCTTTTACGTGGATTTCAAAATCGCCTGTCAGACGTCTGAAAATGTCGACTCAGCTCAGACAGAAATACTCCTTTATAACGACTTATTATTGCTTTAGCATGTTATTTTCAGTCATACTAACTATCCCTGATCATTCCTGGCGCTGTGTTGTTTTGATAAATATGATTTCGACTGCTCCATAGTTGGCAGAGGTATGGAGATTTTTTTGTATGTAAAAAAAACGTAAAATTTAATGGTAATTTTAACGCGTGAATGCGCGTATGAGATTGTTTACGTCGTTCTACGCGCATTTCCGTCGAAAAAAATTTAATTTTTTTGCATTGGGGGTGGTCTGTGCAGTAATAATAAGAGCTGTGACGTCATCAGTATCGGGTAATTTGACCTTGAACTTGACAATACTGTAAATACAATTGTGAATTTCAGAGTAATAACCATTTATGCTATAATAGTCGTTTCGGTATTGTTTATGTTAGGAAAAACTTGACGAAAACGTTGAAGAAAAAACTAATTAATTAGGAATTAATTATTTAACCCTCTATGTACACAGAATATCTCAAAGTCCAATTTTTTTTTTAAAATTTTTTGAAATTTTTGAAAAATTTTTTTTTCGAGGAGTGTGTTTAAAGATATTATCTGAATAGAACTCTAGCAGACGCTTTTAAAAAGCCATGATTGAAGCTTAAGGGCTTAATGGTTGACAAAAAAAATAGGTTTAAAAAATACCATAAAATGGTCAGGATTGGAGCGGTCGGAAGGTTAAAGGTTGAATCTTTGCAAATCTCTTTTGTGCACGGAGTCTAATATGGATCGAAGTGACGATGTACCCACTAGATCTTTGATCAACTATCCAATCATAAAGCTCCTTCTCCAACTCTGGGTACCGGGCTTGTCTCCCTCGCCGCGCTTTCTTTGTTTTGTTCATATCTTTTAGAACAACTTTCTGCTTTCTCCAATCTCTGACATTTGTCTCTGGTACATTGAATTCTCTAGAAGCTTTTCTATTTCCATGAGTTTCCGCATAATCAACAACCTCCAGTTTGAATGCAGCCCTATATGCAGAACGTTTTTGTCTTGCCATAATAGATAATGGGTATCTACAGTACAGTACGATAATGGCAAATAAATATTCTCAACGCAGCGGGAATGTCAAACGCATGCTGAGCTGTCGCATGTGCGTGTGCTTGCACGAAATCGAACGCTTGCACGAATGTCAAACGCACGCTGAGCTGTCGCATGTGCGTGTGCTTGCACGAAATCGTCCTGCATTGGAATGTGCATGCGCGAGCGCACGCACGTTTCAGATGTTTAAAACCACATTTTCAATACCGCATTTCTCAGACCTCGTGTATAACGCGCAGCATTGATTTTTGCCTAAAATTCAGTTCAAAATTTTGCGCGTTATAATCGAATAAATACGGTAGTTCAAAGCTGGTTTTATATATATATGACTTTTTTGAATTCAGTCATAGAAGTTAATAGTCGCAGGGGCACCAGCACATATCATTGATTTGTATGGGTGAAGTATCCATTTCAATGATAAACCATACTCTCATTGAGGTTTGCATAGCAATTGACTCAGTTCATACATTCAGTATCATATCTTTTGAATTTGATACAAAATACATAATATAAAATGAAAGATTCTTTGAATGACCGTAATTTGTCTTGGACAAAACTTTCTGGGGCCTACTTGTGGTTAGGCCAACTCTTTTTTCCAACAAGTAACACAAATTTCTGAAACGAAGAATTCGGCTGGTTTACAACTTTTTTTTATTCATCAGGAGAACTCCCTTGGTTTCTGGAAAAACAACGAATAGTGCCAGTCGTCATTCAAGGGGCATCTCACGCCTTGCAGACCGATCATCATCATCGTTCAATAGATCTGGTTCAAGATTAAGGTCACAGTCTCGAGACAGGTCTCAGTCTCGCTCAGTACTGCGTGAAAGGTCATTATCAAGAGAGAGAAGGTGATACTTTTACTCTGTTTTAATAAGATTGAATATATAATATGAGGGCTTATTTATTAAGGCACAATCCGAAAAGACTGTTTAAAAAAACAAGGTAAATGCATTCTTTTGCTATTCAACTAGGCCTTCTTAGATTACTGGGGAGGCATTGATTTTGTTAATATTGATATTCCGTAACAAGAAGCCAAAGCTTGTGGGAATACCCAATATTTCCCTGACCTTTGTACATTAAATACATATTTATTTTACGGTTATAACTAGGGATGGGCAACATGGAATACCAAAACCGGAGGATTCGAATCCCAAAGTATTCGAATCCAACAGGATCCGATAACAGGATTTCGGGTTTCTATATATCAATTAAAGACGAGCGTTTTTCTCGCATGGAAATCTCTCTCGTTTAAATAGACTTGCGTCTGCTCGGAAATATTTTGGACAAGAAGTCGTGAAGTACACCTTACGACGAAGACCTGTTATTGCACCATTTTTTGCGTTTTCCTGCTTTGCTATCTAGCTAGGGTTTAATGATTATTTGTGCCGACTTGCTGGCGATATTCCGATAATCTGATTGCAACAATCTTCAATTGTTTACAGGCGTGACTTGCTTCATTTTACATTACTGTAAATGATTTTTCGCGACCGGCGAGTTTCCCCCAGAAAATGATGCATGTAAACCAAAATCCAGGCGTGAAATGTTATCACATTACTTGCGATCAATTTAAATCAAATAATATTTAGGAATAATTTTATTACTTTTATTACACCAGTTTCCAAAATACAAAGTTATATCGCAAAACACGATGATCTGTCGCATTTAAATTTCACTCTCAAAAGATTACATATCTTTCGGTCCGTTTCTACCGTTCAAGATAGACGCACGTTTGATCAAGTGTCTGTAGTTAGTAATTTTATTCGCCGATAAATTTAAAAAAAGATGCCACATTTGTCGAAAATAGTTACGTATTGAGTTTGAGTAGGGCCAAGTCTGGGTAGATAATGATATGTAACAATAATAATAATAAACGAATTCGTCTTTAGATGATATTAACTAATACCTAACTACGAAATCCTGTTTACGGGAACCTTGTTTTGCACGTCTTTATCGCACAGAATAAAAAGTTGATTTTAATTGATAGTGGTTAAATTTAATATTTTACACCGGTCGCATAGGTTGCAGTGGCCACACGCTGGTCCTGCATCCAATTAATTCTCAGCGGGTGTGTTTTAGTACACTCGACACTCCAACATTAATAATGATTTAATGCTGTTTCATATCTATTTTTTGTATTCAACCGTTTACTATTAAAGTGTTTGAAGCGTGTCTTAATTTAGCATATCAGTATTTAGAGATTACATACATTTGAAACAATTGAAACAAAAATATTGTAATATTCTTAGATTTCATTGTCCTGGGAAATGCCTGTTTAGTGTCAAATCAAATCCAATGTTGAGGACATTTCCAAATAAATAATACATTTATAGTAATACATTTATAATTTTTTGACATCTAAATCCAGCAATCAGGAAATTTCCCACTATTTGAATAAGTATGAAAACAGAATAGGATTCGGTATTCTGGGTTCGATTTAACTATTCTAGAATAGTAAATTATTCTACATTGCCCATCCCTAGTTCTAACTTCTAATAATGCCTTTATTGAACCCTTCATAGGTTTTGCCTGAAAAACTTGATGGCTTGGATTTTGCGATTCATATGTCTTACTTGTCTAGATCGGAAAATTAATTTTTATTTATCTTTTCGCCTTTTATAATTCATCACATATCAAGTATTGTGTTTATATCATATGTTGTGATAAAAGGACAGATAAGGTTTGCCTATTCTACCTTTGTACCAGTGAGAAAGTGGTTTTATCTTACTGATCGACCTAGAAGAAATGTGGACTGTTCAGCTTGAAAAACCCTCATTTCTTTGCTATATATATTTTTTTAATTTCAGTGTTTGACCTATTGTATTGAGCTCCTCAAATTATTGACAATAATGTTTCATTGCATGAAATGATACCAGGGGCGTAGCCAGAAATTTTCAAAGGAGGGGGGTTCTGAAATTTATATTTGCCAAGTTTGATCGAAACAGCTAGAGGGTCCGGCTGAATGCCGAAAAAGGTGTGTTTTCGTGAGTCTTGGTGCTTGGGGGTCTAAAAAGCGTTTCAAGCTACGAAAAATTGATATGTATGATACAGAAAGATGCTTTCATTTTTTTTACATTTTATAAAGGGGGGTTCTGACCCCCAAAACCACTCCCCTGAATGATACCATAGTGGTTTTTCATGTAGGAATAAGTGGATGAGCCAAAATTAACAAACTTTTTCAATTAAATTTTTTACTAGTCTGTGTGCAATATTTAAATAAGAATTGGTAAGAATACATATCTTATTGATACTATTTACTTTAAATGACACTTTTTGGCATTTTTTATCTGAATTCAGTTCACTTGATAACTAGGACTGAGATATGTTCCTTATGCTGTAGTAGTCAATGTTTCTTTCTAGTTTATCAAGAAATCGAAGTAGGACACCAACACCTCGTTTCGACCCAACTTCGTATATTAAAGAACAGAAAAGGAAACAAAAAGAATCTCAAGAAAAACAGTGAGTAGATGATGTTATTTTATTATAGTCTTCTCTTATGAATTTTGGGTTCAAGAATCAGCATCAAATCCCAGAATTTCCAGAAAAAAATCTGCAGCAATTTTTAGTATTAGTAATTATTGTCCAAAATAAGTGAATTTATTAGCGTAATATTCAATGAAATTAATATTTGGGAAAATCAAGGATATTATTTTGTTTCTATTTGTCTTCTACAGGAAGCGGAAAATCATGCATAATTTCACTCCTGGTTCTGGAGAGTCACATAGAGGTAGAGCAAGAGCAAGACAAAACGCTATTGCTATTTCAAGGCGTTCATCTTCAAGAGATAGAAATTTAGGTTCTATATTACGAGATAGGAGTTCATCCATTGAAAGCAGAAGATCGTCAAATGGGTCGATAACAAGATCAAGACAAAGGTTAGGAAATTTATGATGTCTTACTTTATGACCAAATCGTAATGTCTGGCATGAGCAGACATGTTCAGACTTTTTACACTAAAATTATGATGTACTATCTGAGCCCAAACAATGGACTGGATGCTATCTGGTTTAACTCAGGATTTAATAAATGGACCATGTATAATTATTCTATTCAACTTATGAACTTGTGTTTTATAAAACTGAATGTTATAAACATTTTCTATTTACTTATATCGGCCATAGTGACAAAACAAAGCAGTTGAGAATTGTTCCTAGAATTTATTGACAATGCTGTTGTACATAGACAATTATTTGATATGTTCTGAAACAGACTAGAAGGCTAGAATATTGTTAGAAAACTTGGAATTTCATCGAAATAACGGCCTGCTATGCTTTAAGTATATGCTATAAATATGACCAAGGTTTTAGTGATATCAAGTTACACTAGGTCTAAGATAAATATGATTACTTTCAAACCAATCTGTCTATGTCCACCCATGATTTACAAACTTTTGTAAGAAAATGTCTTGGGATATGTATGGAATTAAAGTATATAGCTGAAGCAAAGAATCAAAAGGTTTATGTGACTGAATAATTATGAAATCACCTTGTTGGACTATTCAATTTTTGTATTTTTATAGTTTGAAATATAATATATGCCTCTCTGAACATTGCCTGTGGCTTCTCAGAAGGTTACAAAACCTATGCACCAGTCGTATTCGCTGTCAAACCTAAATGTTTAATATTGCAGTTTATATGTAAGCATTCATTTCAGAAATTTTTAATCTATTTTTTTATTCGAAGATAAAAAATGATAAGTACCTGTTGACAGAACCATTAGAAGAGATGGTTCGTATTTTTTTGAACTTGACATCATATTTTTTTAAAGTAATGTTTTATTTTAATTCACTAGGTGCATGGTTGCATGGGATGAAACGCCTGAACGTGATGATCCAAGACCTATGCGAAAAAGATCTAGTACACCTGACCCAAAAAGATACAACACTGCTAGATCTACCAGGGAAGAGCAAGAATATGACGATAATATGGCAGAGATTGATGCCAGACTTATTGCATTGCAACAATACATGCAGGACCTAGGTGCAGTCAAATCATAATCATAATACTTTGAGTCGCAATATAGGAATTTATTCAATATTTCCTTTTTAAGTTGTTCTTCAAAATCTATAAAATATGAACTATGAAAAATAGTCTTGTTTATTTTATTAAATCTTCTGGATGCATTGACAACAAATAACCGAATGAATTGAATTTAAGCAGTTGCAATGTTGCCTTCTGGACAACAAAGAGTTGAGTGTTGTCGACAAAACGTACCTGAAAATAAGCTGCAGGAATTACATAAACAACTTATGTTAAAAAATACTCCCCTATCGGCCGAATGTGCCCATTTTGTGTAGGCCAAAAGTTCATGAAGTTTGTTTTAATGCCCTCCCTCTTGTATGCAGGGAAACGAATATAAAAATTTGTGTCTAAGAAAAGTTGTGTTGTTTTGTGAATGATTTTTAATTTTGATATTTGGTGTGTGGATAATGTCCATGCACTAGTTTTTACTTAACGTTTGTGTGTCTTTAATATAAACCGATGCTATTTTTATAATAAATATCGACTAGCTCAATTTTTGAATGCTTGGTGTCCCAAAATTCAGTATATTCATAATTGTATGTCCCAATCTCCTCCATATGTCCGGTTATTTTAAACTTCTTTAACGGGTGCCATGTAATTCATAATGTGAAAGAGGTTGGTTGTTACGTCGCCTAATAGAAGTGCTTGTGGGGATTTTCTGCAATTTACATATCGTGTGGTGTTTCACAAGGTTCAATTGTTGGTCCAACGTTGTTTCGAACTTTCGTCAATCACATAGTAGATGCCTCAATATTTTTCGCCGATGACATCGGTGCGACACCTCCTCCCGTGATATAGGAGAATGAGACGACCTTGTTTTGTGAAAAAGTGTCTTCCTATTTATCCAGATGGAGAAGAAATTATAACCTTATCGGCATAGTAAATGCCTCCATACTTTTTTGCTGATAACACCAGTGGGACATCTTCTGTAGTATTGAGGAATGAGAGGACCTTGTCTTGTGAGATAAGCCTTCATATTTATCTAGATGGAGAATAAATTAAGCTTAATCGTTTGACGGAACACGTCCCGCGCAAAGATATACACAAACATTTTTTGATGTTTCCAGGATCGTTTGCATCATATTTCATCGATTGTAGTTCATGCCTCTCGATTCTCATCAAAAACTCACACTTCATCTCAAGAGTTAAAACTACATTTTCACAATAGTCAATCAAGTTCACCACTAGAAAAATTAGGAATTACAATGATACCTCGGTAGTCGAGCTTATTCGTTCAGGATTGGTGTTCGAGTACCGAAACTTTTTTGCCATAACAAAAAATGGAAATTATTTTAGATTTATCTTACGCATTCCATAATACGCAATATATTAACAAAAGGAAAGAAGGTTTTACATATTTATCCCGGGGGCGCAGAAAAGCGGGATAAGACGGATTAATCATATGGCAAACCACGGCCCCTCGTCCGGTTACCAGTCCATGCCGGGTACGGGATTAGTAAGCCGGTTATTGGACACGGAGTGGGCTCATGGATCGTTTTGTTATTACGTTATGTTGTTGCTCTTGTTGGTATTTTTCTTCTTTTCACCGTATGAGCAAATGTCTTTTTTTCGTTAACTACAGGATTGATTGCTTTGATATTTTCATTAGTTTAATATTGTGTTTTTCGTCTATCACTTTTATTTATCTTATATATTTATTTTTATTTATTCAAAACTTTCTGCGGGCTCTATGTGATTCGTTTTTCACTTTCAAATTTGGTGTGATGACTTCTTGAAAATGAATACAAATTGTTGTAGCGGTTCTTCGACCAGCTACGCGAAAGTCGGAAGTTTTTTGATGATAAACGGTAAGGTAGACGACTGCTGCTTCGCTTTAGAGTATCGCTCCCTTTTCTCTGTTTTCAGGTGCATGGACTTGATGTGAAGGAAACCGTAACCGACCAGCGGTTACGTCAACTACCGTAAGGTGGCGGTTAGTCCAACAATCCTCTCGCACATGATTATCACCCACGAAATTCCAACCTGCGTATCCGCCCAGGGTAATCAGAGGTGCGATTCTATGGAATTCTCTTTTTTGTGTGTGCGATGACGGTCATCTAAAATTTTTGCATCTTGCTTATTGGCCAATGTCACGAAGTAAACAAGGAAGTTGATGCTCGGGGAAAGGTCCATTGTGACAGATTGCACCCATACTATTTCGTTTTGGTCTTCGTGTCCATACATTCAAGCATCGCTCTCTTGTTGAATGGTCAAATACAAATAGCAGCCGCGGTTCGGGTGGAGATATCTCAATCGGGTGTTCGAGTACCGCAGCTTTTTTGACTGGAATTTTTTGGTCGACTACCGAATTGTCGTTCGACCACAGAGATATCACTGAAAACTCCTGAATCTTGACTTATTTGAAATCATTTTCAAAATTCAGGCTAGGTATTATTTTCAGAGTAGGTCTTATTTTCGGGGAAACACGGTAGTTGCATATTTTTCGACAGAATTCGCAATTTTTGGTTACCATTGTAAATCTTAAATTAATGTCATAAAATTTTCTGTGAAAATGTATTGCTACATATTAATTCAGTTAGTGTTATTGTGAATTAAACTTACGAGATAAAAATACGTTGAAGCCATGAAAGCTAAGAAAAACTACACTGATTTCTAGATTGGGCATTGTTGGAAAGGTGATAAAGTGGTTTAGGATACAAACAAACTCAAAACTATGACAGTAAATTCTGTGTACGGACACTATAAAAACAATTAACAGGAAAAACACTAACAACACGTGAATTAGTCTGTAGCCTGATTGATATGGCCAGCATTGTTAAAACAGTATAAACACAGACAACAAAAGTACCGGTATGCCATTAAATGAATGTTTAAAAGCGTTGCGCATTGGTATGGTCATATCAAGTTACACTACAAAATTTTTACGCATCTATACCGTAGTTGAATTCTCATTTAACATTCAAGTATGATTTCTAATAATAGCATTTGCAGTATCTGCTGACAGTCGCATTTCAATTCCATACTCTTCTTCATATTCCTGATTTATTATCTTTCGATTTTGTTATGATGTCTGTATGTTGCAATATCCTTTTCTTATTTCATTACTTGCTTGTTGATATTCCTTCAGTGCTGGCTCATTATCATCATTTTCGTCCTTCTGCACCGCCGAAAAATACGGCCGCATCCGATGACTACCAAACGCGACTATTTTGTGAACCATGTTTATGGAATACTCTCTTGAAATAGCAGTTTATTTCCACAAGTTACAAAATAGGCAAAATGGGATCTTGACAGCACATCTTAGGAAGGGTTGGCGCAAATTATCTCAAGTTATAGTCAAAAATTATAGAGCTTGAAGCATAGTTCGAAATTAGGACATATTGACAAATGGCCAGGAGTTGGGGACTGGGAGTGGGATGGAACTCGTGTCAAGTCAAATGCCAATAATACTGTAATACTTTTATTGAGATATCAAAAGGCCTCAACAGATTTTGAAATATTTGTTTTTTCATGCTGCTGAGGTAAAGTTCCATACTGTGGAAGAGATAATACTTTTCGATTAAGTTCTCTTATTTTAGTGTCCTGCTTTTGCAAGTCCAAGCCCAACTCTAAAACTTTACGATGAAGTTCTAATTGATTTTTTTCTATTCTTTGAAGAATATTCTCTTCTGCTTCCACTTTTTTACGTTCAGTCGCTGCTGAAATTGACTGTTGCATCAGAATTGCCAACAACCCAATAATGAATGTGAAAGTGTTCGCAACTATTTCGGCACCAAGTTCAATTGCTGCTTCTTCAGACATCTGTGACGACTTTTCAATTTGTTCCTTCGTCCGACGAATTCCTTGTGTCCAGAGTCTGGTTCTCACAGACTGTTTGTTATAATCTGAATCAAGCATGAAAAGATTTATTGGATGGCTGTTTTATTTATAAATTTCGCATAACAAAAATAGATAAAAACTGAGAAATATTGCAATGGCCTTGTGCGAAAATCTAATAATGAGAAAAAAATGGCAGGAGGCATCAGAATATATTCAAATAAGAATATTTGATTTTGAATACAGCCAATATTATTCAAGTTGGATTTATTGAACTACTGGCTGTAAAGTACATTTATTAATGAAGATTATGTAATAGATAAGGTAAGCACGAGGTCACATTATTTTTAATTAATAGCGGAAACCACATTATCAAAAACGGGACAGGTGTCAATGTAACACAATTAATAAAAGAGTTCATTCTAAAACAAAGAATGGTGGACATAACACATGTCATGATTATATGGATTAGATGAAATATACATTGTATATATCAAATAAACTGCAATTCATTGAAAACAAACCACACTGAAGTTCAGGGGCCCGGAAACAGTGATGATATTCATCTTTTATATTTACGGTATGTGAGTGAGCATTTTTCAATATTTCTTCTACACCTCCAGAATAATCAAAAAATTTCACCCTAAAACCAGCATAAGAAAACTTCTGATCAGATTAGCTCGGAAATAATAATCTACTCACAATGAGCTAAAGGTATAAACACAGAATCCTTTAAAAATCCACGTTTTCTTACATTTCTCTTCAGTGAATCAACCATTGGTTTTGTAACCACTTTAAATAACAAAGGGAGTGCCTTAGCCAAAGGCACACCTAACACCATGCCTAAATAACTACCAAGAAGCTTCTAAACAAAACATTAAAAGTAGTAAAGTTTGGTAATAATTAGCCACGCAAGGGTTCAGGCGGATAGAGGATTATATCAACTGCCATAGAAAATAATAGTCTGTTTGCATTATATTTCAATATATTACTTTGTATGAGCACGGAGATGAATATTGACCAACAATTATGAAGGTATGTAAAATGCCAATATATTTGTAGCAAGTTCGTCGAATTGGTTTTGCAATCAAGTTCACATCACAGTTAAAAATCTTAGGTTCAATTCCACCTTCCCACCTCCGAGTGTAATAAATTGGGTAGGCAAAGTCAGTGTCAGAGTAAAAAGAATATAAGAAAAGTATCATTGATTATAGTTTGCGTTCTGACATAATGATTATTACAAATTCAGAAAGTGACATCCCTATTAAAGGAAAACTTCAAACACAATAGTACACACAAAACTAAATATTCTTACATTTTGCCATTGGTATAAATACTGTATCCTTCCAAAATGGGCTTTTTGTGACATTTTTTTTCAAGACATTCACAATTGGCTTCGAAAACGCCTTAAAAGCTTCTGGTATAAATTTAGCTAGTGGTATTCCAAGAACCATAATAAGTTACGGTAAACACATTAACAACTTGAAGATAGGTTTCTGAAAAATATCACCAAAACAAAAAATATGAGCTGACAAATGAAAAAACATGAGGCAATTAATTTTTACATTACCATTTCAGCAGAGATATAGTGATGATGGACATAAGAGATTCCACTACAATATTAAAAGCATCTTTCATTACACATAATCAAGGTATTGACATATTTCAATTCAGTTGCAAGTGTTCTGTTTGAGCATTAATTAAGATTCAGTGAGTTAATTTTATCCAAAAAAAATGGATCTAAAAATAAATCTTTTTTTGGTAAGCATCTATTGAAATGAACATCATAAATAGTTTTTAAAGCTAATTTTGCAGCATCTGATTCAGCTTTGATAACAGTCTCCCCACCAGACTCTGCCAACAGATTCTGTTCACAAAATAAACCAACAAACACAACAGGCAGCACTGAAGTGATACCTGCTTTCTTTGTCAATCGAACTTCTGGTGGAGGTAATCCTCGAATTTTCAATTCTAGTTTCAAGTGTTTCATTGGATCTTGGGGCTTCCAAATATCATGTACAATATCTTTATTGTTCAAATTAATAATAACAAAGTCATATAAAAATCTTGCTGCTGCTATTTTCCCATCAGGATTCTGTAATATGGCTGTGTTTACAGCAAAAACTGCTCGAGTCAATGAAGTAGTAGTTAGTGGAAAAAATTGAGATTGGATCAAGTCACCAAAACCCAAATTTTTGGCCAGATATGACAAGAGTGTTTCTGACATCAAGTAACTTACAATACTGTTAGCACAATCCTTGCCTAATTCAGGAAATGCATATTTTACAAATAGGGTAATGAAGTTTCGTGTGAATACCTCTCCAGTGTTTGCCATTTCTACATTATTACCAGCTTCATTTGATACTCCGCCTTCATTTTCCAAATCAACAGGCATTGGTTCCGTTAATGCCGCTTTTAATGCTTCTGCATGAACATGAATGCCCAATCGGTGCACAAATGCATGCAACTCAGCACTATAGTTCCAATTCAATTGGTCGGACCGACGCCGAGGTTCTTCTGGACCTTCAATTTCAGCTTTGCGTTTCAGCAACAATAACCATTGATGTTTCCAAATGGGAGGTGTATACTTGAGTTCAGGGGCTTGCTGAAGATGTTTGTTGCCAACAATGACTGATTTTGCCTTTTCTTTAAGAGCTTGTCCACTATGCATTTGTATGTTGAAAGTACAAGGAAGTCTGCATTTCTGAAGTCTTTTACACATCAATGAAGGCTGCGACCAAATTCTTAGCTGCTGAAGCATGACAGACATTGTCTATATTCACACAATATCACTTCTTGATGTGGATTCCGGAGCAGCAAGTAAGCTTGAGATGATGAAATTTTTCACAACAATGGTGCAAGTCTTGTATTGCTTTTTGACACCGCGATTCTTGGTAAGAATTCTTTACCAAACAGTTCTGAATTTCACATGCGAATCGAATACAAGGATCCTTTTTTGGCATTACCAAGGATTTAGTCTTAAATCAGAAAATATTTAATTATTGAGGCTATCTACAGATCTATGTACATATCTCAGTGTCTGTATAAGTGCAATGTCTGTGAAAAATAGTGCAAATATGTACGGTCAGACGTTAGTTAATACCAAAATTCCAAACTGCAATCATTTTATTTCGGTTCTCTGATATAAACAACACAAAAAGTAACCAGACAAGCAAAATACAGAGTCTACCTGGAAGGTGAGCTTAACTTAAAAAACCCACCAAAAAATATACATACAGACATAAGAGTGAACGTGATTCAGAATCGGGCAATACTTTCAATGCAATTTAAAATGAAGAAACACAAAATAACTAACGTTAAATATAAGAACAAGGGAAATGTACTTTTAAAAATATGTGACACAAACTCAGGATCTTTATTACATAATACACACATTTCATTTCCAGCTACTCTTTTGATTTCTGGTTTTGTTTTCAAAGGTAAAATATCCCCTCATAACTTATAGTTGAATGTTTTTACATAATTTGCCAAAATTTTATTGTGAATACTATTGCAAGTTACACCGAGATTGAAATTGTGGATAATGACAAGTCTTTCCCCATTAATACTTTTTATAACTTTATCATAAATAATTCTATATTTACCAATTTTGATATCAGACAAATTTTTTTTATAAGTTTTCATAAAATCAATTACACTTTTATAATATTCATGTGGACTAAATTTATGCAATACACTATTATTCAATGGTAGATCTAAATCTAAATAAACACATAATTGTTGCCCTATATTATATTCTAAGTAATTAGAATTGATAGTTCTGCCACTAAATATCACATTATTTTCTATAGTTCCTATATATTCAAAAGCGCACATAATATACATAGACATTACGAAAAATGGAATATTGATTATATCATATTTATTGACGATGAGACAGAATATGAAACAGAATTCTCACATTGTACAGCTGATTATAACAGAGGACTAACTATAAGTAGCATATTCTGACATTAATGAAATCAAGACCTTGACTGGCTGGTTGAAATACGGGGAAAGGGAATTCCTTGGCCAAGTTGTCCTCACCAATGTATATAAAATGAACTTTGTATGATACCAGTGTATGAAAGAGCTCAAAGATTTTGTTTTAGATTTAACCCAAAATAGGAACATAAAAAGTATCTCTATCAAGGAAGTTGTTGGCCAAGTCAAACCACCCATTTCTAGTCCATAGTGAACTCGTATTTAAACTAAAAGCCTATTTGTGGTAAAAAGTTTATGGAAACCATAATCGCGATCTATCATACCAAGTTTAAAGTGATGTCAGATAATTATGTTCCAAGGTTTTTGTAATTACTATTTTTTAAAATAAACTATATGTACCCAAGTTTCTCATGAAGGTCTTTGATTTGGTTCTAGGGCTTTCTTAGATTTGATTTAACTGGTAGATGTCAGTATACTCAATTATCCTCGAAAAATGAGGTAAATTGAGTATACTAACTTCCAAAAAAAAATTGCATTTTAAGGTGACTTGAATACATTGAATAAGACTCAAACTGTTATGCAAGGAAGTACATGGTCAGAATGTTACAATGAAACCATGATTTCACGGAGAATCTATTTCACTCAGATTTTACATCGGTTCAAATGTCAAAAACTACTCAAATAGCCCCACCCCCCCCTAGTAAAGTTAACTTATGTAAGTTAACCCATTTTCATTTCTTTCGTCATATCATTTGTTATAAATATTTCTTGTTTACTTCTAAAAATTCATCTTTAATAATTTCCCATGTCGTTTTATAAAATTCTATTCCTATTCCATCAGGTGATTTGTTTTTCTTATAGGTTTTTGATAACCTCCACTATCTCATTCAGTTGAATTATACCCTCTAAATTTTCAGCATGATCCTCATTTATTCTGGGACATGATTTATCCACATTGTTTAAAAATAGTATTTTTTTTTTTTCATTAAAAACAATTAGATTAATTTCAATATCAAGTTCATTTGAATTTAATAGTAGTCAATTCATGATTCCGAATATGCATCCTGATGTCGTTGCATTATTTAGTTCATATCCATATGAATAAGTCCAGCAATTATAATTATGATCCATATTGTAGTTCATCCATTTCTGCATTCAGGCATTTGTTTGATCATTCATTCATGTGAAATATCATTTACATTATATTAACATGAGAAAAGAAAAATGGTTTCGCAAATTAGTTACATAACAATCAAAACTATCTAAGAGTACTAATCTCTCTAACATGTATGTATTAAGTTAGCTAGCAAATATCTATTACTCAAATTATTATAAAAAAAAACAGCACACTATGGACCTTTCCCCGAGCATCGACTTCCTTGTTTACTTCGTGACATTGCAGCATTGGCCAATCAGCAAGATGCAAAAAGTGACGTAACTATGCTCTCTTTTCCCATCCGCTCAGACACTTTTCTCACTGAGACAGATTTTTAAGCGTGGTCGTAAACATTACCTCGTTTCCGCGTTTGTGAACTCTATCCGTTAGTTTTCTGTTGTGTTTCGGAAACTTAAATATAAATCAGATAATTCAATGATCACTCTGTCTTCCTAGGAGTTTCAATTTAATTGCAGTAATGGAAAATTAGTGTACAAATAGCTGTGATAGACTAGGCTAAAATTCTTTACCAGTATTTTTTAAAAACAGATTGTTGTATGCGATGAATCATAATGATGATTTGAAACACAAACCCCATTTTACAGGCGCCAACTCGCAAAAGCACTATTGAAATGGTCCCGAAAATTTTGCAATGGTAAAGTATAGGAAGAATTTTTTGGGGGTCAAAAAAATAAGCGCCCGGGCTACTAAACGAGCAAATACGGTAAATAATATTTTTTGTAAATCAACTTCAATATCTAATTCACTTTCCTCTGAATTGTTTCCAAAATTCACTTTCTATAAAATCGACTTTTCCTCTATAACAGCGTTTCCCAAACTTTTTCGGCCACGGAACACTTAGACTTTTTATCTCGCCTCACGGAACACCAAAAAATGAAAAGCTAAAATTGAAGAAAAAAAAAACGGTGTAATGTAGCGGTTCCCAATGGGTTCGCAGTGACGAGTTGCCAAATGCGCCGCGAAAACTAACAGAATTGTGATAAACCGTAAATATAATACTACTACGGTTAAACATACCTGAAATATGATTGAATATTTTACATATTGCATTTATTATAAATGTTTTATTGTTTCCTAATTTAAATGCTGTAATTCACCAATTCACAATTTTTTACCTGTCTATGTCGTTTACTTTTCTTCACGTAGTGTTTGCCTCCAATGTTACCTCTAATGGAGATAAAAGTAGCCTACTTGCTGCAATTTCGCGAGATGCAGTTTATTTATCTGCTGAATTGAATTTCGCGAACATGAGTAATTTTTCAGCATTTCATAGTAAAATCAGGCAGAGACGGAGGAAGAAGAGTTGACCTTTTGCCTTTATTTTTTAGACCTACTTGTTTGCTTATAACAAAACCAAAAGGATTGCTGTAAACTTGGGGTTACCATATTTTTGTAACCTCAAAGCGGGACGCCTCCAAAGGCCATAGCTGTGTTTTTTTCAACTTTACCGATTTTACATTAGGCACACGCCGACGGACGACGGTCACGAAAATGCCACTACTCTACCTCAGTTAGTCCGCTTTAGGCCGACGATAACGCGATATTGAACGGTCAGTTTGGCGACAATTTCACGATCCCTAGATCATAATGGCGATATTTTTGATTCCTCCTCCACGGAACACTCGGAAGACGCTCGCGGAACACTACTAGTGTTCCGCGGAACACAGTTTGGGAAACGTTGCTCTATAAGTGTACTGTGGTTTTTGCAGTCAATAAAAAACAAAAATCTGTGCAATTTAGGTTGATTTTGGCACACGTGCATAAATTATTTCGACTATTTTTCTTACACTTGCAGTTTGCCAACTCAAGAACTGATTTGGGTCCTGGAAGTAGATCCATCAATTTGACCCGCAAAACACCCTTATCAAGAACACAACTATTATAGCCGAGAATAATTGGCCTTGGTTTTAGGCAACAATGATGAAGCCCTGTCTGGTAATTTGCCATCAGCTTGCTTGTTTCTTGCCCCACATGCTTTTTCAGTGAATCATTGTTGGGTGGAAGAGTATAATCCATATGTTTGCCAGTGTTAAAAAGACGTATCATTTACATTCTTCATATCCTCTCCATACAGTGAACAAACAAATTCTTCAGCTTTATTTATTAATGCCTCGTTAACCTCAAAAGATCTTCGTAGTTGAGAAAAAATGAATTGAAAAACTCAATGAAGTCTCCAACATAAGTTTGATGGGCATTTCCAATTGCAGAAAATTGCGGCTGAGCGTTGCCTCGCTTGTATAATACAATATGCTATTGCAAACATTAGTGCTGAATAATATTTTTCAATGCGATATTAATTATTTCTATAAAAATCTAATAAAAAGACTAGTTAAAATAATATATGTATAAAGTCGCCTGGTATGATGTTGTTGTTGATTTATTGATTTATAGATATGATGAAATGGTAATTATGGAATGGTTTATGGAATTTATTAATATTGTTTATTGTTTGTTACTATCGATATTGTTTATTGCAATATTGTTTTTATTTTATAAAAATCCCGAAAAAAAAAAAATATATATATATAGGCTTACCCTACTTCCCTCATTAGGCGGGACAGTCCCGCTTTTTAGCGTCTTGTCCCGCCAAGTCACCCAAAAGTCCCGCTTTTGCGTTCAGCCATCTAGCATAATACACCAACATGTTCTCGTTTCTGTGTAGCGCAGCGCTAGCCTACTTACTGAAGGTGAATGGCGTTTGTTTCCCGCTGATTCCCATTGATAGCAGACACATCGCATGTAAACCAATACTAATTAGTCTAAATTCGAATTATTTGTACCGGTACCGTTAAC